CACGTCGCCACCATACAGCACTCAGGTCCCGCTTTGACTCCATAGAAGAGATTCAACCCTCTGCTGCATGTCTCAGCTCCCCATATTTGCCGTCTCCTTTCAGCTGTCCTATCTAATAAAAGTAAAAACTACACTTAAAAGAAGAACTTTGATATTTTATTTACTGTATTCCTCTTTCATGCATTTCTATTTCACTGTCCCCCCTCTAAACCTTCTCTAATAATTCATCTGAAACAGCCTGATTTGACTGGTATCTGCTCCATGGTTGGGTGTGCCTCTGCACTATTGCATATGAGATTTCTCCCTCAATGTTTTTTCTGAGGGTTTGAAATGAATTATTAAATAAATCAAATAAAACCTCAGGACTCAACTATGACTAAATATATAGTGCCTCTGCGAATTTTAGGATGCAAGCATACATGCATCCACTACAATACAAGCATAGATCCCTATCGAGATGTACTCTGTATCTCAACCATAAATTCTTCTTCATGTCTAAATCACAATACTCAAGTTTAATTAATAATAACTCATTTGTATGGTAAAATTTTATGAGACTATGACTGTAGGTTGACTGAAAAACAAATCTTTGTCCTAAAGGCAAGTGTTTTGATGAGGGTTCAGATGTTTTGCCATGTAAGGCAGTAGAGCTCAGTGCATTATGATTATTGTGGAGTTCAAAGCGTGTTTTCTCTTCCACCAGGGGGCAAGAGTCGAGCTCTCTGCTAAAAATCTCAAGGTTATGGACCAGATGCCTCCATCATTCCCAAGGTAGAGTAGAAAACCACTTCCAGACACCTCCTCCTATGCACTCATTATTACTTTATAGACAAGGCAGATCCGGCTCATTAAAACATTTCTCCCTCTGCAGGCTCTTCAAGCTGTGTTTGCCGCCCTCAGACGGTGATCTCTAAGGAGGCTGTCACTTCCTCGGACGGAGAGCTTGTCACAAAAATGTTGAAAGGAAGACACGATGAGAGATGACAGCAACAAAAGACACTGCCATTGGAAATATTTTTGTCCCACTGCCCCAGTTACACACAGGGATCACTCCACCAGGGATGCCGCTGGAGTCTTCAGTGCATGCTAAACAAGACTGAAACAAATATTAGCGATCACAGACCAACAATGAGACTGATGCAGCCTGAGGCTCGAGACTTGATGTGAACTGTCACGCTGGGATACAACCCAGATAGAGGTATTATTGCTTTGGCTGTCTGTCTACACAAAGCTGACATGAATGACTTGAAAAGTGGTGCAAAATATTCACATCATTCAAAACGATGTGCTTATGAAGGCCTCAGAAAGATGACATCCACAGTGACTTTCTCGTATTATTAACTGGATTAACCAAACTACCTGTAGCATAACTGTCATCCTGAATGCAGATGTTATCCATGTTGCCTTGGACTGCAACTCCAGAGAGCTGCCTCTTTCTCTCTTTCGGCTCTGTGAGTTCCCCAGGGTTCAATGTCTGGACCCCAAGTGAAGTAGTAAGCTGAATAGATGCAGAAAGTCAAAGTACAGACAGAGAGATGGAAGTAGGGATCGAGGGAAGGATGAAAAGACATTGATTCAAGCAGGGGGTTGCCTTTTTTAAGCCTGTTGCATGTGGTTTCTGTGCAATTACTGTAGGTTTAGTGTGAGTACTGTATTACTGCACTATATGAAGGATAGTTATTTATTGTGTCTGGAAGGAGCATTTTTATCCCTCACTTATTCAGTATCAGGTATTAAAGGATCTAAAAGCATTCCAGCCTGAGTATTGAACAGTATTTAAAGGACCAAGGCATGCCGTTTGTTAGACATACCTGCTTGTGTGTTTTATTTATATGTATGGACTTTTATCATGTCAGGAAGTGTTACATTGATCTTCAGGGAGAGCAAAGGAGGGACAGAAGCTAGCTAATCAAAATTTAGACAAAGGTAGCTGAAGCAAACTATACAAGGCTGCTTGTCAGTAAGCAGCCGATTACAGGTCGCAGATTTGAACCATTAAATTATTAATATATTAATTCAAAAGTATGTAATAGGTGAAGGATTGCCTTCTGTTAACTAAGACATCACTTTGTTTTTAAATTCGTTTTTACATTGTCTTGGGTCTTTTTACTGTAGGCATTAAAGTAAGCACAATGATTGGTCCAGTCAAGTTTCAGTGTTAGCAAAACGTACTGTAAACAGTTTGTGGATGACGTAAACAAAGGGATCGTTTCAGGACAGAAACACAGTAACTTTATTTTCTCATTGTTTTCATTTCTTGTACATACAAACTGTAACAATGTGAGAGCAAAAGATAGGACCTGTCTTACAGCAACGATGTAACGCAGCAAATAAAACTGCATTATTTTTATGGTCGTAATATAGCAAACAAAGCGTTATTATTCATTCAAGCAGAAGCTGTTTTTCTTTGCTGAGTGTAACCTCACTGACAACTTTTTGGTTTTGACTGATATGAGGCCGGACATGCATCTCAAGAGCCAGTCTTGACATGCTGCATTCATTAAGCAGATCACTTAGACCTTTTTATTTATTTAAACGCTGTCTGGTTCCAGAAAGGCATCCTCAAATATGCATCCCACTGCACAAGCATGGCTGCTGTTCAAAGACTCAGTGTATTATTGTGATTTCCCCTGTCAAATTTTGGTCTTAACCTGAGCTGTGCACATTGTGTTAAACTAGAATGCAGAATTAGTGATCATGGTCTGGTTTAAATAAGTGTTGCCAGTATGAAATTAGCTAATGACTGCAGCATGTTGGTGTAGCTGGACAAACAAAACCTGTCACTGATTACACATTATTTACATTATTCTAATGTTATTGTATATACTTTATTTGCAATTTTATGTTGCTTGAAAATAACTGTACAAAGGATCTTTGTTGAATCTTTCTAAAATTATCATTGTAAATGCAATCTTAACAAGATAGTAATAAAATGTTCACAGTATGATGATGTTTTTCATTTGAGCAGAAGGGTTGGCAAGCTGGGATCTAACAGAGGACATGATGTCCCCTCTCAAACTAAAAAAGTGTACACGCACACACACACACACACACACACACACTTAGAGTTGTGATTCTTTTGTTGGGACTCTACTTTCCTACAACTTACTTTTGAATTTCCTGCTTTACAAGTTCCCCTCCTCAGGCTCGAGCTGCTTTAGTTTAACTTAATTCGGCTGCATTATAGTGTCAGAAGTTTTGAAGAAGTTAGTTGCCTCCACAGGGGCACAGCCAGAGTATTTAGGTCGAAAAATATGAATTTAGGCCCCACCACCTCACAGTCACAAACCCTCAGTGTTTCTAAAGCCTCTGTTAGCCATTGGCCTTTTGAAACATTTCTCCCCCTGTGTCTGCATACAACATATCAGCTGGATGTGACTGAGTGCAGCTGCATGTGGAGAAAGGCACCATGAACTGGAGCATTACTTGCTCAGCCTGACTCATATATCTGTAGTCTTGGCATTGGGAAAAATTTCCCCATGCCAATGTTGCGTACAACATTGACAGGCTTTCAGTGCAGAACATATGATGCAGAAAACAAACACCACAAATGATGCAAATGTAGTTTGTTGTGCAAACTGTTCCTTCACTTCTTTTTTAATTTTCCTAATTACAATGCATACTAAATTTATGAGAAAAAAAAATATCAACAGTATTAAATAACGTTTAAGAGTGTGCTTAAGAGGCATGAAGCCCAAGAGGGCTTGTTCAAGGACATGTCCCTAAAAAAGATTAAAAATGGCTATTTCATACAAAATAGTAAACGAGAAGACTAACATTTAAAATAGCAGAATTAATTGAATAGGAATATTAAACATAATAAACATATTTAGATGAACTACAAACTCACTATGATCTATTACTATTTTTTATGAGGGATGAATACTCTGCACCAGGGTGGTTCCCGAGATATTAATATCCCACTCAAGTAAACAAAAAGTCAAATTTTGACCACCCAACTAGTCTAAGGTTTAAGAAAAAAACAAAAAATAGGAACAATTTATATATAGGTCTTGGTAATACTTGTTAATTAATCATCATAAAAGCCATAAGAGCTTGCTTAGAAGCACGCTTTTATTAAAACATATTGTTTACAAGCATCTATTAATGTGCTTATTAACTATTAATGAATGACCTCAATATAAAGTGTTACCAAACATGGAAACACCCACAAAACTGTTTATTTAACTTCGAATCACAAAGTCTATCAATAAATTGGCTCGCTGAGTGTGGCTAACATTAGCAGAGCTAGCATCACCAGTCCTTGCTAGTTCAGGTCCATGTGCCTGAGCTGCTTACACATTGCTCAAGCTGAGAGGTTATACACCAGTTTAAACATTTAGCTGCATTTTCCTTTTTAAAATATACTTTCAAACTGTGCCAAGCCTGTGCCAACATCCACATAACATACAAATCAAATTTTGGGCAACAATTAAAAAAGCATTAACTTGTTTTCCAACTTTAATTCCAATTCCCACTTGCACAGACACATTAAGTCGATTAAACCTGCACATCCCTACTCTCCACTGCCAGGAGAACATGTTGTAGAGTATTAGACCTGCATTTCCTGTAATAAAAGCAGCCTTTGCATGCAGTTGTGCAAACTTAGTGCACACTCCACAAAGGTAAAAGGTCTCTCCGTTCTAGCTCAAAAATTATGCATGCAGCATATTGACCCTGGTGATCTGATATTTCCACTGAAGAATCTTATCAGTTTCAGCCTCAAACGTCCTGTATTGATCAGTCTCCTGCACACATCCTGCACTTAGCCAACATGATGCTTGTCACAGGAAAATTGAATTCACTCAAAACACATCTTCCCATGTTATCAATCCTCATCTTTCTCTTCAGTTAGCTGCGTAAGAATCTACTCTCTTAGATTGCACGGCTGGGCTGAGGGCTGAAATGTCACAAATGACCTATTATGGAGGGAGGGGGACAATCCATCATTCAATCAGGAGCTGCAAACCTTATAGACACAGCCTGACAAAGTGTTAGGTGCCATTTTCCTGACTCAAGAAAGCGGCATACGTGTGAATATTGCATGAGGCATCAACTGGAAGTCACTCCTGCAGCTTCTCATTTGGGTAGGACCTGAGAGGAGAGGGCGGGGGGTTATCTGGGGTTAGGTTTTCAGAGAAGGGGCTTACTTATGATCCTTTTCTTGAATAACCTATCAAACCCCGCTTAGATTTTACTCCACTGGCGGAAGGACTGGTTGCATGTTTGCTTGAACTTTGCAGTGTTGGTCATTTCTGGGCCATTAGCTCGATTGCAGATGAACTGCTGATGTCAAACGTGATTGGACTGTGGAGTGAAAATCTTGAGCATTTCTCTCTTTGCTGTGCCCGTCAAACAGCCGGAAGGGGCTAAAGGTAAAGCATACAGTGTGCAGTTTCGCGTGGTTATTGCGATTGGTTTTCTAGGGGGACCGACACCGACTGCATCCTCCAGCAGCAGCAGCAGCAGCAGTAGCAGCAGCAGCAGCAGCACACACCCCTCAGCACCGGTGATGCATCCTCGCGGCAAGGACACGGACAACTCCTCGTCAGAGTCGTCTCGACTTTAGAATGGTGAAGAAATCTCTCAACGGCGGGGTTTACCCAACTCAAGCCGGAGAGAAGAAGCACAAAGTCGGCTTTGTTGGATTGGACCCGGGAGCTCCGGAATCCAACAGGGATGGGGCGCTGCTCATTGCGGGCTCGGAAAGCACCAAGCGGAGCAGCATCCTCTGCAGACCGAGGTCCAGCATCTCCGCAGGTAGACCCAGACCGTCGAAGAAAAATGCCAGCTATCGGAAACTACAGAATTTCCTCTACAATGCGCTGGAGAGACCACGGGGCTGGGCGTTCATCTACCACGCTTATGTGTAAGTAATGCGTGTTGATTCTGGTACCTTGGCCCTTTTTTGCCTTTACTGTGTCGTGATTGTAGATCAGCTTATGTGGAGTTTTGTCTGTAATAGTGATCACGATCAGATGCTGCATTGTAGAGTAAAGCTTTGTCATGCTGCCAAGCAGCTCCAGCTATAGGAGGGGTATCACTTCACCTGCATAACTCCTGCTACAACTCTGCAACTCACGCTTGTCTCCTCCTGACATTTTAGCTGTTTGATTTGCATAGATGTTAAGCCTTGAAATTCATGTAGGACGTGTTGGAATTGTCCACACCTCAGTTTTTAGAGTTGCCATGTGTTGCGGCAGCATTGCGTTTCAGCACCGCGGTGTGTGGACAGCTCTGCGCCGCATCAGTACTTTCACTAATTGACGTTGCAGTCCAGCTCTGCTCCGCGCAGTCATGTGGACTCTACTACTTTCAGTAAATGTGCAAGCGAAGGGAGTATCCTGGGTATTACAGCTTCTCGGTTCTAGAAAATGCTACTCTGTCTGCCTGGCTTGCTTTTGTGAGTAAGGACTGAGTGCACTAGCACAAAACAGTGTCTGCCAAAATAGTTCAGACTTCAGTGATTCTATCATAAATAATAAAAATGGTGTGACCTAACCAACCAATGCAAGCAGTATTTCTAGAAATATATCCTTAGTTATTGAATATCTCAATGAAACAGAGCCCCCTGAAGTCCTAAAAAGTGGCATGTATTTATGTTGTGCACATAATTTAATTATCTTGTGGGAATAAGTTGAAATCTTGAGTGCACAAAGTAAAAGCGAGGGTGCACAATACAGCTGTCCTATGCACACACTGTAATTGTCATGTGTGCACTAGATAACTAAAATGTAGACACAAGGTTATAACTGGTTTTCACAAGATACTACTATCTTGTGCACACAATGAATTAATTTGTGCACACGTTATAATCCTGCCCTACAAGTTTATGTGCACTTGAATTAACAAGAAAATAACTTGTGCAAACAAGATATCAGCTTTTTTGTGCACACCAATTAACTTGTTCACACAAGTAATTAATCTGTGTGTAGAAAATCTAAATATCTTGTATGCACAAGAATATACAAGTATGTGTCTAGTGTGCACAAGATATTGACAGTTTTATATTATGCACACAACGTAACAAATGTTTTCCTACAATTTCCTTCATTTCTTGTGCAAAAACTGAAATCAAGACAGGCCCTAAAACAGGTAGAGTTACATTTGTTAGCCACAAAACTAATATTTTCAGATGTGTAGTTCCTTTTAGTCTGATTATGCAATCAATTTGGGTGAAGGTGAGACCATACCTGCTGAATTTTTATGATTGAATGTCTTACATGCAGCCCTTTCTGCAACAAAATTCAATCCAACATTCACAGTTCTGTTTTTTTAGGGCAGAGCCACGTGAGACACAATCAAACTGTCTGAACCACTTTACTTTTGTGTCTTTTATGTCTTTTATGAAGTTTTAAGGTCAAGTTATTGTAGTTTTCCTTCAATATATTCACTTTGGACAGTTTTGTGCACTGGATGAAAAGCTATAAATCCTATTAATGTGAAAAACTACAAATGTGAGCTCAATAAGGGCGGGTCACCTATGACCTGCTATCATGCCTTAATCCCTCTGATTCATTGATACTACATGTTTCAGTAGTGAGGGGCAGAAACAGCCTCATCATTAAGGAATTCACTGAGCGCAGCATATCGACTCCCCTGAGACGGCTGACTGCCCAGAAGTGAGCCTGTGCTTTAATGTTAAAACACACACACACACACACACACACACACACACACACACACACACACACACACACACACACACACACACTGACTTACCCTGTGGGTGCTTTTAAAATATTAACTGAATACTATAGCAGCTCGCTGAAACTCCTTCTTCATCATTTGTTTGGCTTTTTGGGAGGTCCTCACTGACCCGGGCTGGCTGTAGCTCTGGTTTGATGGCTGAATCTGAGGACTGATGTTTTTTCAGGATAGTACAGAATTTGGGGCCAAACTAGACCAAGAAACCTAGGGTTGTAAGTATGTGTGCTGCTTTAAAAAAGAGAATCTGGAGAGTACTCTGTAAACTGTGAAGATACAAAGGAATTTACACCCCCCAGAGAAAACTACAGACACCACATCCATACACAGATGAAGTTCTGGCATTTATCCTGCAAGAGCATATCTGGACTGCGTAACCACGACCCTTCCCCACTTCCATTTGTCTGCTCTATACATAATTCATTGTTACCACAATTCATTTATTCTCCCAACTCTCCCCACTTTCAGCCAGCCAGCTGATTTATAAAACTATCATGTGCTGACTTTGGTTGGATCTTTTTTTCCTCATCCCTCATTCTTAAACTTATCTCAGCTCCAGATGACACAAGGTTTGGCAAACAAAATGACATTGCTGCCTTGAAGTGACAAACACAGCTGTGCTGAATGTGCTCATGCTCAGACAACACTGTGTGCTCCTGAAATGTTTGGCAGGTGTCTTGTTCCTCTGTCTCATTTGTAATGCATGTGTGACGATCAATATGTGGAACATGAGTACATCCAGAGTACTTTCTACTTCTCCATCTCTCTATCGTACCATCTAAAAGCAAGGCTAACCCTCACCTTCCCCTCTTGTTCTGTCAGTGGTCCAACATCTGTAAAAAAGGAGACACAGTGATCAGAGTCAAGGATATCCCAACATGTGCATGTAAATCCTGAGTGTCCTGCAAAGTGCAGCCTGCAGAGACTGGAGAGGAGAACTCTAAGATCTTGTAGAGGAAAGGAAAACAAGGGAAGTCTGTTTCAGTTGTAGAGTGTCTCTTTGTTTGGTTGACACAAATTTAGTGAGGACAGTTTATTAAAGAGACTTTTAATTTGTCAGTTTCTGGAGTTGAATTACATCTGAGCCTTCCTTCTAAGCCAGATCAAGGCTCTAAAATCTCCTCTCATTTGGCTCCAACGTCAGCCTTATTACTGAGTGTCCTCTTGCAGGAAGCTCCAGCTGTGTGAATAAATTGAACAGCCTCTGCAGATGTCAGATGAAGAAATGTGCCAGTTCTGCACCAAAGCAGGAAAAAGAAAACTACAAATGAACAAGACATGAAAGAGAGGAGAGCAAAGAAAGCACTGAGAAAGTGATCGACAAAATCAGTCAAATCAATAGAGATGTTCTGTTAAATTGATTCCCCGAGACAGATCGAGGACATGGTCCAGTTATTCACTATTCTGCTGAGCTGGCTGGCAGGAGTGGGGAGAGGAATAAGACGAGGACCGAGGCAGACAGATGGCGGCTGCCAAGCTGCTGAGACGTGATGGAGTGGTCTGCTTGAGACATGATGGAGGTAGAAAACTGGAGTCTGAATACTGGATCCTTTAGCCAGGTTCTGGTTAGGAAAGGGTTACATCCCACTGCTTTCTTTTAGAGACCATGGAAGCTTTTAGGAAACGTTAAGATTAAATAATGTTCGAATTCTTTATGGTGACACAGGAGCTGCCATTAAATCCACTCCAGCTCATATCAGCACTCTTCAAAGTTTTACAGCAACAGCTGTAGCTGCTCTGGGAACACAGTTAGCTATTACTCTTTACTCATGATCACCATTAACATGATTACAATCATTATCATCATTTATTCATCATTTTCGAATCTAAACCTTAAAAAATACATATGTGATGAAGGGAGGATCCTCACTAATTATAAAAATATTATATTGGTGCCAACGTGCAAACAATCACATAGCAAACACGTAACAAATCGCTCACAAGAAGCCAGAGGGTTGGGTCTTAATGATAAGCAGCACGAGTTACAATGTGTCTCATCAGGGGGCAAAGTTTACACTAAACCTTCATTTGAAATTGATTAGTTTTTAATGTTTAGTTGCAGCTTATTAAATTAGCAAAATTTTTCAGCTAGCTAACTAGCTGCCCTACACTCTCAAAACGAATGTGTCAAAAGTAACTCATCATGTGTTATTTCTTAACACATCCGTGTGTCTAGTTAAGGACAACACACAATGTGTTGTTTTGACACATGACTTTGTGTTGACAGATTTTACACGTTTTGTGTTAATGTGTCAACACATCAACTGTGTTGGGTTTACACTAAGATAACACAGAGCTGTGTCATATTTTCATGCAATTTACACATAGCTGCATTGTATTCTTCACACAAAAGTGTTTTTTATTTTCTTACAATTTACAAATTGCATTGCGTTTTACATTGGATACATCATTCATTCGCTCACACAGTCACACTTTGGTGGTGATAAACTACCTTAGTAGTCACAGCTGCCCTGGGGCAGACTGACGGAAACGTGGCTGCCATTTTGCGCCTACGGCCTCTCCGACCACCACCACACAACACTAACAATCATACACCAGCGGAGGACACACACCGGGAGCAAGGTGGGTTAAGTGTCTTGCCCAAGGACACAACGGATAGACTTGGGATAGTGGGGGGAATCGAACTGCCAACCTTCCAGTTATTGGACGACCGCTCTTACCTCCTGAGCTACTGCGATTATCTGCTAAATTACCAAACCTGGTCACTGAAAAGAATAAACAATTGCTTGAATCTCAAGTCACTTTTATAAAATTTATTTGGTTCAGGCAGCAGTGCAAAATCTTGGACTTTGTAAGACTTTAGTGCAAACTTGAGAGCAAAACATAGTGCAGAGTGCTGCTGAGGGGCTTCCTCCCTCTCAAAAAATAAAAAATAAATAAAGAAAAAAGTTACAGAATTTATAAAAAAAAGATGATTCCAGAATTATTCAAAAGTAGGAAAATTAATAAAGCCACTGCTTGGTTAAAAATAACCCTGGCAGGTGTTTTCATTAATAACCTCTTTGACCTAGCAGTGGCTAACACATGTTGTGTTTAATTCACATGATAACTATTTTATGTGTTAAAATAGCATTAACTCAAAAGTGTGTCTAGGATATAACACAGGATGTGTAAATATGACATAAATGTTCAAATATAATAACACAAAAAATGTGTATGATTTTAACACATTCATTTTGAGAGTGTATGTTGGTGCATAGATGATGTTTTTACCCCCTGTGGCTAATCACTGACAAACATCTCTCTTATAGAGGTATTAGCTGCAGTCTTGACTCTTGTAACTGACTGCCTCGGAACAGGCCTAGAGTTGGAAATAACTGCTGCTTACTCCCATTAATCAACCATAGGAAACTCATACTCATGTGCTGGTTTTTATGTTTGTTCAGTTTAGGATCAGGTTCAAATTATGAAGGTGATTCGGTAAATGGTTTTAGACGAACAGCAGGCTAAGGGTAAACGGCCTGAACAGAACATGCACATGAAGAAAGCAGTGTCATCTGCATATGGGGTGACAAAGTTATTAAACAATGAGAAGAAAGTTTTCATAAATTTATGAATGAAAAAGATCCAGGAACTTAGCCCTGAGGAATGCCAGCTGTAACTGGGACACAAAAGGATGTTACCTATCCCATAAAATGCAAGGAGATTGCAACATCTCTGCTACCTCTGATGCTGCAACAGCTGTTTAACAACTTTCTCCCATCATCATAGCTCTGTTACATTCATATTGAACAGAGATGTGTCATGCAGCCAAGTACAGAAAGAGCCGACACAAATGTAGGACACCAAGGTAGTAGGTCGAAAGGCGAAAGGTTTATTCCAGTAACAGGCCAAGGTCAGTACACGGGTAGGCACAATCAAATTAGGCAGCAGTATCCAAACATATGAGGCAAAAGACTGTGAGGTACAATGAACTGGGGACAAAGAAGTCAGAGACATGAGGTTAAATACAAGAGGTATGAGGGTGATGGGAAACAGGTGGGGAGAGACAATCAGGAGGCAGGCGTGAAAATATGGGAACGGGGCAGACAGGAACAGATCTGAAAGGGAGACAAGGTGAATGTCACATCTCTAATATCAAAGATAAAGCATTGCAATGAAAGTGGTTATGTTTTTAAAGGAGGGCTGAACAGTTTTTCTCGATTTAAGTATTTTATTCATTGATTAAGATTATTTGTTGTTGTCATGTAGACAAGCAAAAAATGCATGGCTTCAAGTTCACTGTGTATTTGTGGAGTACCTCAAAGCAGCTGTTTAGAGGCACTATTGTTTCATGTCTACTGATGATCTCCTATTAGTTTTATGTAATGTCACATATTGCTGCATTTTCTGCATAATTAACATTATGCAATTGAGTCATTTAATGAAATAAAGCTTAACAGGAGGATTTAAAGTGAGTTGCATAATAAGAGACAAGCGGTAATGTGTTTTTAAAAAAGTTTTTTACAATACTCAGAACTAAAGTAACAAATAAAACCAGCTAGCAGGTAAGTATACCAATATTTTTCTTTTATTTCTGTTATAAATCTCACATTTATTTACACCTTATATCTGTATATTTATTACTGTTGCATCTTTCTCTCTACCTTTTCCTCATTAGTACCCTGTGGTTGAGCAGCCACAGCATCAAATGAGAATGTAATCCTCTTGCACATATTTTGCAGTTAAATGAAAAGTACCACAACTCCAGCCTGCATGTTTTATTTCGTGTTAACATCAAACTCAATTTTCTTTTTTAACAGACTGTAACTGATTTGCTTTCATCTTATATTACTGCACTATATTGAATTATTTGCTAATAGTTTCACTCTGTAGACTTATCTAAAACTATAAGAAACACCATGCAAGAGAAAAGGCTTTACATATATTAGCGTGCCTCATTTTCTTGATCTGCAAGCAATTTTTGAGTTTAAGTCATTACATAAAGATGTACAGATTTTTTTTAGAAACAGTTGTCCTTTTTGGTATCCTCCTGTATCATAGGCTGTGAATCCCGTACTGGACTGTACCTCTGTGGCTCACAGGGAACACAGTGAAAGCAGGTAACTACAGTAGTGGGGTCACTCCTGTATGTATTTACACAAGATGAGTGCCCCAGAAAGTCATCATCGCTCTCAAACATCCCCTGAGGATGATCACAGAGCGGCCGCTGCAGTGCTGGCACATGGTCTTCTCTGGCACTGTTTGCTTAGTGAAAAATCCTCTTTCACTCTCCTTGAGTCCGTAGCAGTCTAAATTTAGCATGATGAGTACGTCTGGGTAGCTAGTGTTGTGCTGAGCAGGGCAAATCGATGTTTCTTTATCTGCAGCTCAGAAGGAAATGCAGGCTTCTCTGCCTCTAACAACAGCGCCCCTCAACTTGATTGATCAACAGTCACGTTCCTGCCGGTGTCCACTCCTGCAACAAGTGGATGCTTTATGTGTTGCTGCTCATGGCTGTTTGTTGACTGGGAGAGTAGATGTGGTTTTCACTCTTCAAGGGATTTTATTGGGGACAGAGGTGGCGGTCAGGAGACATCATGAAAATATAACTCTGTCATGTGTGTTTGTGACCACAGGGATCATTTGGTGGTGTGCTTGTAGATTAAAAACCCACTGAACAAACCATTTTAAAAAGGATATAAACAACCCATCTAGGAGGTGAATCAAATGAAAACTTGGTGACATTAACAGCACCAGCTGGCACTGTACTGAACGTGTAATGCTCTTCTTCAAGTTAGTAATCGAAATCTTGAGTAAGAAAAGACGAAAAATATTAATATTGCTTTCACATCACTGATTACAAATGAGACTAAACCTATGATAGGGCAGCTTATTATAGAGATAGACTTATTAAAAAGTAGGGCCTCTTAATTGGGCCAATTATTAGTACACTGAAATGATTTGTAGCAACTTATGTATGCACTCACAAGGCATATTAAAAAAACAAACAAACACTGTTTAATTTAGTAGTTTCTGCTGTTGGTGGTAACCCATTTTTTAATCCTAAATGAAAGCATTTCATATTTTAAACAGTTACTGTCAAGTGTTTGATAAATACATTCAATTATGATATATAGAATAATGTGGTTTATGTTTCCTCAGACAAAAACATCAGTAGTTTTAAGAAAACTAAATAATCTAATGTTTTTTTCTATGTCATAAATAAATAAATAAATAAATAAAAACATGATACTGGCCAAGACAACCATTAGTATGAAATCCTAATGTGGATTAAAATTATAAGTATTATATTTAAATGTTTTTTTTTTTTTAATTAAATGCAAGAAAAGGAAAACAAGCAACATCAGCAAAATAATGTTGACTACCGGTCCAACCTCTCTCTAAATATATACACTGACACTGTAATGCAAACTAGAATACAGATATCCTACATATTATTACCTCCCATCTGAAGCTACAAAGATGTTGATATTGTTTAGTCTAAAGATTATTTTTATTAGGTTGAGACTTGTGCAGATTTGATGGTTGTCAGCTCTTCCATCATAATGGCCTGTGCATTTAAGGTTTTTGGTCTACATCTCTTTGGCTCACCATCCCTCGGGAGTTTCTGTAGTTTTTTAATCGCTTCATCCTCTTCACCATGAGTCTAAAACTTAATGCTCTCCAGATAAACTTTGATTGATATAAAAAATACCCCCCACTTTATTTTTGCCACATTGTCAACAGGAGGAAGTGAAATCATGAACTTTACTAACATACTAGACTCTTTTTCACAGGCTGATTTAGTGTGACCTGTGTGATTCAACTCAAGTTTTTTACAGAGATGGGAATTGTGGAGTCACCAAGTCATCTCCATGCCATGTATTTGTTCTGCTCTGTCACTGAACCAGCTGCTTCCAATGAGCAGCCAGGAAGGTGAGCTCTTTAGTGAAGGCACCTGGTTCAGTAACTGAGCAGAACAAATACATGGCATGGAGATGACTTGGTGACTCCACAATTCCCATCTCTGGTTTTTGACACAATCTCCTAATCTGTGACTTTTTTAAACCAACTATTTAAAGAAAAAATAGAAAAGTCAAGAATTCATCTCTTTCAGTTTTTTTTTATAAGGTAGATGTCCATGTCCTCTTGTCTCCTGGTCACAGAGAGTGTTCCTCAAGGCTCAGTACCTGGGCCTTTTTTATTTACAAATTTATATATGAAATTCCCTTTATGTAGCCTAACTCCTTTATTTATTTGCACACATTGGGCAGGTTTTTTAAATTACATGCTTGTTAAGAAATATAAATGATTACATGAAATGAATATGAGTGTCAGAAGATTAGAAGTCCACCTCTTCTCCACCTCTCTGCCTGTTTCTGGGTTGATCAAAAGTTAGCATTTCCAGTGTGGGGTATTTTAGGATACAAATTCTGGCTAAAAATCCTGTTTAAATCCAAATGTCTGTGCCAAAAAAATGAATAGCTCTCTCTAAAGACTGTCTTTTTTATACTCATAGATGCTGAGCAAACTCTCAGGTTGCTGTGTAGAGACTTGTCAGCATCCAAATACTTAAGTAAACCCCACTTTAAAGGAATTGAAACAGCTATTTGAGACATCAGATTAGACCATGAGGCAAAGTCCACTCCTAAATACAGTCTACATATCCAAAGGCAAACAACTCTATTTGCTGAAATGTTGACCATGCCCTGTTATAGAGAAGTAGCACCTCAGCAGGATTCCTCCTCAGTCACATATTGCAGAGTCATTGCAGTCTGACACTGTAATTTACATCTGGACATGCTTTTGTGTCCAAACACGATTACGCTCATTCATCTTTGAGAAAATAGACACGGTTACTGCCCTCTTTTATGTAGACTATCACAAAAACACCTCATGCATATTTGACCACCTCTCCAGCCAGACTCTGTCATAACAACGAGCCCTGTGTGTCCGCAGGCAGCGTGATGGGGGGGTATAAATGAATCTTTGAAAGCTCCACTTTACTGATGGTGAAGCAGAGAGGATAGGCGAGTAGCTGTAAAAGCTAATTGTTTGACTGCTCCAGGAGGCAGGGTCTGTCCCTCTCCTTTATCAGCCAGTGTCCTCATTAGTAGGTGCTGATGAGCTTGGCGAGGTCGAGTCAGGGATGTTGCATATGCTGATTAGACTTACAGCCAGCCGGCTTCTTTGTCTACCACACTTCATTTCACTGGTTACAAGTATTTAAGGAATTAAAGAGATCTGCTGCTGCGCTGTAATTTAACAACAAACGGAGCTCTTTGTCATTTTGCAGCTACATGGAGCTCATTACTGGAAGACAAAATCCACAAAATCTCCAACACATAAGCCCTGTTTTTTGCACTCTCATAATGCTGATTGGATTGACATTTTTCTACAAGTAAAAGCATCACTTTATATTCTCTGAAGAAAAAGGCGGGTTGATATGACTCAAGTCTACAATTCGCTCATGATGGCTGGATGCCAAGTCAATGTGATGAGTCAAAGGGCTGTAAATGACAAGACATGAAGTGGTTGACAGCTTGAGTGACTGACCTAAGTAGACCTCAGTGCTGCTGTAGAAACATTTCAGCTGATTCAATACAATGGTTTATTTTCTGGACATGAGAAAAGCTCAGGGAGTGTTTGACTCACTTTAAGCTTAAAACTTGTTTCAGGGTTTTAATTTGATTTACTCAGCAGAAGGCAGAGCTCTCCACAAACACAAAAGGTCAATGTTATTATCTGTATTTTTGTTGGTATGTAGTTGAATTGAATTGTTGCAGTGGAGAAGTTTTCAACCTGTCAAAAAAGGGTGGGCTTGTAAATAAATTAACATAGGTCACAGTGAGTGCATGTAGCCCAGAGGTTACATGTCTTTTACAGCCAGGTTCATCAGGCAAAGTGCAACATAGCATAAGTAATAGAGTTCTGCAGATTTGTCCTCCTTGAAATGATTGACAGTGACTGACAATAATTTCCAAGCATTCCTTTGAATAAATGTGCAACAACTTCTGATGAAAACTTGATAATCTAAAAGAAAAACAACAAATTACTCAGTGGTGTTGAAGGCTGGGATCCAGGACCAGTGCACTTGTGCACAAGGCTACAGAGCTCATTTAAATCCACCCAGAAAGACTTATATCCCTTTATGTTGTGATATCATATCAGTATGATGATACGAATTTATTTCCATTGTGGTTTATGGACAGAAATGAAATATGCTGTCCTGTTGGGAGAACCTTTTTAATTCTTACTGTGCAGGTGCCACATAGCTGTCACCAGCATCCTGCAGTGTTTCTGTAGCGGTCCATAACAACAGTGATCCTTCTCTGTGAAGGCAAATGCAATCCTTGTTCTTGCTTGAACGCTGAAGTTTTGTTTTTTGCTGTATTGTAGGCTGTGAACGCTGCCTGAACCACTCTGAGCCTGACACAGACAGACACCTTTTCTCATGCTCGTAGTGGTAGGATGAAGTGGAGGCGAGTGTTTCTGATATTTACAGAAAAAGTGGGTCACAACTTGTTGTTTAAATGTTAAATTGAAATCAGCGTTAGAAAAACAGCTGGCCCTAATTCAGTGACTAGTCAGCTGTTTTCCTGACAACAGCTGTGATTTTAAAACCCCTGTCAAGGACAGAGTTTGCACATTTCAGTTGTGCCGCCCCAGTCGCAGTCACAGACAAAGGCAATTATTGGGGCTTCAGCGAGGAGCTGAGAAACAAGAACACAAATCTAATCCAAACAAATTGACATAGCTTTGCATTACACAGTGTATCTCTCTAAATTGATGAAATCTATACAGACTGTAATTCCAGACTACAAGAAAAGTCTTTCAACATCTTATTTAGATTTAACTTTATTTAAGAGGAAATGTAAGAAAGCTGTAACAGTCCATGCAGCTTTCTTCAACCAAGCAAGCATTGGCTGCTGTAGTCATCAATGATGTATGAGACGCAAGAAAACACACATACTGCACTGTAGAAGTAAGAGTGAGTGACCTAAATCCAACCTCACAGTCCTAAATGTCATGTCATGTACAGCACTGGTTCATCTTTACCTTCATAAAGCCTCCTCAGGAACTCCTGGTTTTTGTGTTGGCACGTCTTTATACTTCTGGTGCTGAATGATAGAAATATACAGAATCAGCCTATCCGTGAATCTATCATTGCTGCATAACTGGATCTCTGCAGCTTTATCCTGATTGGCCGGCAGCCAGCTGCCTCTGCCAAGAGTTTGGTGTGGCCAAACAGAAACTGCAGCAGCAGAAGAAGGGAAATAAGGTGAGCTGCAGTGAGCTCAAATAAGGTCTAGTGATTGTTATTTAGGGGGTCTGAGCATGGATGAAACTCTTTGATGAGGATTGATTAAAGCTGGATGAAGGAAAATAGACAGTAAACACTGCGGGAAACTTTCTTGACTGATTGTTACAATCTCATACTATGAAACATCTCCCTAGATAACAACAGAAATGTTGCATGGATGCTTTTTGTTTTACATTTGAAGCAGGCAAATACATTCTGATTACAACAAAAGATGCATCCTTGATGCAAAGTGTGAACGCTTATACCCAAGTGCTCGCTGCTTGTGATCCAATAAACAAATCTAATAGTAATGCAAGGTGTAAACAGGATCGTGGACTCTGAATTTAACCAGTAAGGTAGTAAATTCCTTCTTTATGCCCTTTATAAGGTAGAAAAGTAGCTTAATGTAGCCTTACTGAACCCAGAAGACCCAAAGTTTAAACTGTGTTTGCTCATGCTGATCAGATTGGTTTCCTTCTTTATCTAGACAGATTACAGTCAGGCCTGGTTCAGGGGAAGCCATTCGTTCGCATCCGTTCTGATAACACTAGAGTGGTTTATTGGTTTAAGCCATTTTTGTTAACAGTTTAGATTGCAGCAGCTAACATGTATTATATTGAATCACTTTTTGCTTAAGTGTTGCCATATTAGCCCACCTCTAATGCATCTCATATCATTGCTGCTTTATTTGTGGTTGAGTGCAGAAACATTTTTGTCTGTGCTTCGCGGTAATTTTCTTCAAAATCAAAAATTGACTAAGAGGTTTCAAACAAGTTCAAAAACAAAAGCAGGAGCTTTTTGGAGACAGACTCCCTGAGTCATCAGCTGACATCAAGTAAAACACCTTATCATGTGCAGAAGAGGTCTATACCATCAGTCCACTGTGTTTCCATATGATAAATGAAGGTTGAATCTTTTGAAATCCTGCAGAGCCCCAGTATTGGATTTCAGCAGCCTCTCCATTTGCCTTTCATCGGGGTGACTAACCTTTTAAGATCTTTTTAAGGAGGTCAGGAGATACTCTTTCTCTTCCTCATCACATCACAGATCTTTTATTCAGTGACACATCGGTCTGATGGTGTCTGATGCTCTCTGATGCTCTCTGGGGGGGGGCGAGGATTTTTTCTTTTTCTAAACATTATTGATTTTTCAGAATAACATTAGTCTAATCAAAAACAGCACCATCCATTTCTGCCTCTTCAAGAGGCAAAACCTCTCATTCCTTCCAGCCTGTCCAGAGAAGCGAGGGAGGACATTGGCCCTAATCTACTACAAATTCTTATTGGTTCCCTTTATACTGGATGTGTCCCAGTTTACCTCCTATTTACATGTATTCGACCATGGCTAAAGGACCTGACCATGACCTGTCAGTCTCTAAAGATTTGAGCACTTTATTTAACCCAAATCTTGAAAAAAGTGGTTTTAGAAAATTTTTAGAAGTCCCTCGTAGCAACAGCATTTAAAAAAATATGTATTTTATTCTGGTTTTGAGTTATCAGTGGCTGTGAACCTGAAGACTAATCTTTAAGCTGATCAGTAGATGTAAGGATTAGGACAGCATTTCTGGTTACAGCTGTGGTCTGGTTTTCCTCCCATCTCCTAAACAGAAAATTCTGAGTCTCAGTAGGCTCATTCAGCTTAAAGCTGTTTAGACAACTTACGGAATACTTCAAAGCACAGTCCTTGGGACATTTCTGTTCACTCTGTGTGTACGTTCTTTAGGTTGCATCATTTGTTTAAATTGTTTGATTTGGTAGTTATGCTGATGAATCTCAATTCTACCTCTCCATAAAAATATATCACAATGGATGTGTCTCATAGCTAGTGCACTAAAATTAGAAACTACATGTAACAAAACTTACCAACAACTGTTGAATTCAATTCTCATCTATACACACACACACACACACACACACACACACACACACACACACACACACACACACACACACACACACACACACACACACACACAAAACGCAACAATTGTGTTAACATGTTGTGTAAAAGTAAGCATATAGTTTTTGTTTTGACTGATGTGTTATTAATATATTCCAAAGTAATTGGAGTAATTGGGGATATACATAAATTTTTGCAAAAACAATTTTAACCCTGGTTTCAGTTTGAATCCATGTTGTGGACTTTCTCTAAGGAGTTTTCATTTTCTTTCTGGGTACTCTGGTTTGTCCCAACCATAGACTGTATATACTAGGGACAACTTGGTTCCGCCCTCTGCCTTCCACCTGTATACGGATTTGAAGCTGAAAAGCTTCCAGTATTTCCATTTCCTGAAACCAACATTGCGCAGTAATGTTGTACGCATTTGGTGGCAGAGTCGCTGAGAGTCGCTGTGATGGAGCTCGGCTCAAACAGCGTATCACAGGGTGAGCTATGCAATATTTGTATGCCCATAGGCTGTATCAAGTGTCAATCATAGGAAACATGAACCCTCTAATGACTTTTAAAAATGGAGATGTACAGAAAAAAGAAGACTTGAGTACAAACCAGTCTTACAGTAACTACATGTCAACATTGCAAGAAGGGGGGAGAAAAACGTATGTTCTGTGTAATAAATTTCTATAGTTTGTCCACAGCTCCATAGGGATTGCTGGAGGAGATGGGATTTATGACCTATACTGCAGCCCGTCATCAGAGGGTGCTGTTCTCACAGTGGCTTCCATTCTATATACAGTCTATGGTCCCCACAATCCAAAGACATACTTGTTGGGTTAAGCGGTCAGTAGAAATTGTCTGTAGATGTGAGAGTGTCTTCTTATCTGTTTATATACAGGCATCATGCTGCTTGTTTCTGTGATAGACTGACAACATGTCCACAGTGTGGCTCACCTCTTGCCCAACGACAGCTGGGTTAGGCTTTGGCCCCCCTGCAACTGTGTGGTTTGCATTTGAATTTTCATTTGAAGATTGCAGCATCATGATGTTGTCATACTTGTTGGGGTCTGTTTATAAGAGTGTTTTATTGTTGATAAAGTAAATAATTTGCAGGCCAGAGCATTTCTGTATCACTGCAGTGCTACATCACAGTCATCACACGTTTTGTTACACCTTATACCTTTTATAAAAAATGAAGCTGCGGTGGAGTGGATAATCTACTCAGCCAAATTGTAATTTTCTCATATAGTGTTCTGATTAACTGTGCAGGTATAATTACTTACGACCTCTACAGAGGGCAGATTATCTTGTAAGAAAACGTGGTGGTTCATCCCTTTCTATGATTTCCTTAGAAAAGCGTCTGAAAAAGCCGACAAATACCTGCTATTATTCAGTGATGTGAGGCGTCAGCTGATGTTAGTCCATGCTCTACTCTCACTCTGAAGTGCAGATGTGTTTCCTTGGAGTCATTTAGGGTTTCTTTTACTCACTCGGGTGTAATCGCTGTTCTGTTTAGCTGAATCAGCTTGTTTCTTTTGAGACCACTTTGTCCTGAACTAAGTAATTCACTTATTTACTCATCCGAACTGAACTGCTGCAGTTTGGCTTGTTTCCTTTAATAAAGGCACACCCCGGGTCTGCAGCTCTAATTATTCATTCTGTCTCCAACTGTACCCACTTAAGCTTTAGATACAGATCAGCAGATGGTTCATTATTCCACCCAGCCATCACAGCAACTGAATATTAATCTTAATATGGAAATCTCTGAGAGAGCTGGCTCACTTCCATTTGATTTAAAGAAAAAGTGTGCTGTTATTTTGATGAATTGGCAGCTGTCTTAATTAAGGAGGTGCGCTGTAAGTTTAGAAACTATGAAATGCCATCACTCTTTCTAGCACTGCTTACAGTATGCACATACAGTAAACTGATATGGAACCATTTACCAGCAGACTCTGATTCAAAGTTTAATAGTTTTTCTTTTTTATTTTATGTGGACCTAGAGTTTCATTTAACGATGCACAGATTTCAGATGCACTACACTTGGTATTTATAGCAAAATGCTTATTTCTAACTCCTGTCCACTGAGAGCATTAATAAGTTAGTTCGATAAGAAAAGAAAAGAGAAAAACAATTCGGCTGTAAAACACTGCAGCTATAAAAGCAAGGCTAATAAAAAATATAAGAACAAAAATAGAAAGCTGTATAAAAAGCGGTGTATGCTCATGTTTTTGGTGTGAGAACAGTGTTTCTCTTTCAGCCAGAATCTGATACCTCTATAAAAAAACATTAATGTCCCACTCTGGTCATTTTTACTTACTACTTAAAGTGTTCTCAGTGGTCTTTAAATTGTGATTGTGAAGTTTTTTGTCAAAATCATGTTACCTGTCTTATTTTCAAGGGCTTTTCTTCTGCGGAGCTCCAGTAGATCATTAGCAATTTGCGTCTGAGTCGTGGGAGGAGACAGCACTGCTCTGCACACTCCTCTTCATACTGGCTTGCAGCCTAACATTGCCTGTGAAGTAGCAGGTAACATAGGAGCTATTCTGCTCTTAGACACTAATGTTTTTAGGGGCACAATGAAAGTTAATATCATAATTAGCTGTCTTACGAGGATTGCAATAATGCACACGCTTGTTCTGGGATTGTCCTCTCCTTTTCCAAGTCTGGCCTGCATAGCAGGGCGTGGGGGGTGAAGCTTGGATTTGCTACGTAGGAAATCTCACTGAGTCTGAGTCTGTCATTTGGGTCTGCCAGAGATTCACAACAAATTAAATACAGAAACAAAATGATTTTCATCAGAGTGGGTCTTTAAATTTGTGTTGTACTTTGCAGAGTTGCAGAATTTTGCACCTATAACAGAGAAGACTGTCTGTCTGCGAACTTCATTGCGACATCTACAAATGTAGATTCAACAGTGAAATAGCTGGAAAACAAAAATCAATCACAGTTTTTTTATTTTTTCTCCCTCTCTCTTCCAGCTTCCTCTTGGTTTTCTCCTGTCTCATCCTTTCGGTCTTTGCCACCATCAAAGAGTTCAAAAACAGCTCAGAGAATGCCTTGTACATACTGGTATGTATTGTTTTTTTATTTGCTGTAAACCTCTCCTTTAATCTTGTCACAGGTTTAACTCTGGTTGTTCTGGCTTTTTCCTCAGGAAATTGTGACCATCGTGGTGTTTGGAGTGGAGTACATCGTGAGGATATGGGCTGCTGGCTGCTGCTGCCGTTACAGAGGATGGAGAGGGAGGCTCAAATTTGCCAGAAAGCCTTTTTGTGTTATAGGTGAGAAAAAGAGGCGGCTGTGTTGTGCTGGCTGTCATCTTTATAACCTTGCTCTCTCACAGACATTATACAGTGTTAACCTTTTTTCTTCCGCCTGTAAAAGTGAAGTGGTTTAAACGAGGATGAGATCACCTTCGTCATTACTTTCCCAGTAACTTTTAAATCATAAGAACAATGGTTCTCATCTTACACAGTTAAGGGTTGTTAATTCAGTCTAAGTTGATCAGTGATACACTATCTCATGCTTTCCTGGCTGCAGAATTTTATTATTGTGTTTTTCTCTCTGCAGACATCATGGTGCTGATTGCCTCAGTATCCGTCCTGGCTGCTGGATCTCAGGGCAATGTTTTCGCCACCTCAGCCATCAGGAGTCTGAGATTCCTGCAGATCCTGCGCATGCTGCGAATGGACCGCCGTGGAGGAACCTGGAAGCTGCTCGGATCTGTAGTCTACGCCCACAGCAAGGTGATCTTAAAGTCAACAGTGTTTTCATTTAGAGTTCTCTTTCTGAACTCTCTTTCAGGTTTGTTTATGTTGTTGGGTGTTATTGTCCAAAAATAAGAGACTAAAACCTTGTCTGAAATTTGTATTCTTTTCTTGTTCTTTTGTTGTTATTATGCTTTAGTTTAACAACGAAGACACAGCACGATAAATATTTAACATGTTATCTGCTGTTTTCTCTCTTATAGCTGGTAAAAAAAAATGCATCCACCCACAAACTCTTTTTAAGGCAACTCCAAGTAAAAAGTGGATTTTGTTTCCTTTCAGCATGCAGGAGATGTAAATATGTGGTAAAAGCCCTAAATACTATCTTTATTCTTCTTTTATGGAGCAAACAACCGTAATAACCTCCATTATAAGTTTTCTGACTTTTTAATTGATGTGAGATGCTAGTAAATACCAAAACATTACTTTAGCGAATAGATCTGCAACTCTATGGGACAAATAAACTACTACTACTACTACTAGAGCTATCCCAATGTTAACAAATAAAATGTGTCCAATCATGTTTGAGCAAAAAGGTGATGTGCGCTAAGTCCATTACCAACATGTAAACTAATTTTTTTGATATTTTCATCTAGAGTGTGGTACTGTGGGAACATAAGAGACTAAAAAAAAACAACAGGTTTAAGCAAAAAGACTTAAAAAAAATAAGATTCCATAGAAAGTGAAAGTTTTGAGCCAATAAGAAATAAAAAAAATAGATTTAAAATTAGAGCTATCATGCTGAGCCAAAAGACAAAGACTTAAAGTGTGTTTTAAGGTTTGTTTGTGACATCAAAACACTTTTGGAGTCATTTGGGGTCAAACTGTTGGAGATAAAACCAAAGTAAAATCAGTGACCAGAGTGTTTTGAATAAAAGACTACTTAGAAAACTTCTCCCATCTAAGATATGATCCAGCCTTTTCTTACCACTCTTCTACTTTCCTGTCACACCCTTTCCAAAGTAATCAGTAGTGGAGAGGAAAAAACATATGTCTTTTAATCAGCTTTCAAATGTGATTATTTGCTTGCAGTAACAGGCTTCATAGGAAATGTGCTTCTGCGTGAGTGTGTGTTTGTGTGCGATGCAGAGGGGGAGGGTGTGTGCAGCAGTCGTTGAGTCAGGGGAAATAAAGATGTTTATGAAATACTCAGTTTGCCGCAGAGGCCATTCGTCTCACACAATCATGTCCAATATTATTACAGGACGGCCTTTCTTGCAAATTTGCAGGGGTGATATCACCGCGTTCTGCAGAATCCTGGATGACACTTTATTACTTTGCATTCCCCGGTGCTGATTGTATTGGGTTTCTCTGCAGGAGCTCATCACAGCGTGGTACATCGGTTTCCTCTGTCTCATCCTGGCTTCATTTCTGGTCTATTCTGTGGAGAAGGAGTCCAATGATGAGTTTGAGACCTATGCTGATGCTCTGTGGTGGGGACTGGTAAGATACAACAGCAGACAAAATCCTCAGCGAGCCTTTAAAGATAGATGTCTGTGATATTTGTGGTCCTCAATTACCTCTAGGTTAAACTATTTTGGCTCTGTACCTCAAACCTTGTTTGAAACAGTGACCGATTTGTCCTTTCACCAGATCACTCTCACCACCATCGGGTATGGGGACAAGGTGCCAAAGACTTGGAATGGACGTTTGCTGGCAGCCACGTTCAGCATGATTGGGGTGGCCTTCTTTGCTCTTCCTGCTGTAAGTATAAGGGATCATTGGGGGGCTTTAAAGACAGTGCTGTAAGCAGAATAGAGAGTGCAAGTGCTGACTTTTAAGTGTCTAATTTGTGTTAATTTGTCTCCATCCATCATCATGTTAAGTGCTCACTAATGCTGGGTTTCCACCATACTCTGCAGCTCTTCAAGGAAGAATATCTAACTCTGTGTTTAACCAGACTTTGGAAGTTTTAGTTTCTACAGATCAGGGCTGTCACAATATCACATTTTCACCTCAGCATCATTGATATGTTAAAAATGTTGGTTTTCTGTGTCACCAGCTCTGTGACAGAACAGGTGGCCGCATAAAACGACTTTGTGATGGTTTCATTTTGTTTGTTTTTTCTGTTTTGTGTTTGATTTGGATAATTTCCTGTATTGCAAAAATATACTTTTATTTTAAAAGGAAGTATGCAGTATAGTGATGGATCCTAAATCAGAAAACTGAATTAAAACTGGAAAGAAAGTATAGATGTTTAGTGGATTAGCATCCATGGAGAAGCACAAGCTGTTACATTGTTTTTGTATTAACTATAAATCTTAAAATATATCAGTTATAAAAGTGTTTGACCGTCTTTCAGAGGGCTGCTACAGCTAGCTTTCTAAGAGCTACTGCTTCTTCTCCTCCTTCTTCTTCGTCTCCCCACTGTTTTATGGCCAATAGCAGCCAGCTTCTGTCTTTTTCCTCACTTTACATCCAAACAGCTCTCATTTTATGCTGTTGTCATTCCATTACTGGTGTATCTATTTCCAGTCAGTGTTGTATTTGTCAACGCCTGTTAAATGTTTGGTGTTGACTGAGATTTTTAAGATGTCAGACTCAGCAATAAGCTTTGAGTAAGCAGCAAACACCTGCTCAGTCTGTCACCCTTTAAACTGTATGGATGTGGCTGTGTCAGCACTCAGCTGACTTCTGATTTATGAGGAGGAAATCAGCATTTTCTTGCATTTTAGCTCAGGGGTTTGGAGGGGTACAAATCAGTGATATTATGCATTTATCAGCCAGTTTTGTTTGATTTGCTTCCTGGTCTGTGCAGCTGTCAGGTTCGGCAACTTGTCCAAAGAGACAGTCTGTTGGTCTTGTAGGTTCACCTCCAGGCCTGTTGGGGTCAGTAAATATCACTGCTCACTCTGTGCACTTTTTGTTTCACTTATTTATCTGTTTAGGGAATCCTGGGTTCTGGTTTTGCTCTGAAAGTCCAGGAGCAACACAGACAGAAGCATTTTGAGAAGAGACGCAACCCTGCTGCAGGCCTCATCCAGGTTAACGTCCTCATAAAACTGATAAAACACAATATGTTTTATTTTATCTAACAGACATAATCTCTGTTTTTTATGCTCTTAAAGTTACTTTTTGAATTTTGTTGTTTTTCCCTCTAGGCTGCTTGGAGGTTTTATGCCACAAATCTTTCCCGAACAGATCTGGTGTGTACTTGGGATTATTACGAGCAGACGGTAGCCATTCCCATGTACAGGTAAGCTCTTATACTGTCTTGGTATCTTGTGTTACATTTTCAATGACTTTCCATGGAAGCCCAAAGGGACAGTGCAAAAGAAATCAGCTGATCCATTTTATAAGACCTATTAAAATTTCACAACTCTTCATTACATGAGTCCAAGTATAGATCCTCCTGGTTGTGTGTTACTCCAGTGCAGGTGAAAGTTGCTCAGTCAAATCACTACTTGAGTTAAAGTTTTGCAGTACCATTTTTTTTTATTGCTCAAGTACCCAAACTACCTTTAAAATAGTCGTAAAGTATTGTTGAAGTTCCTGAAGTGGGTTTACATTAGATTACATTACAAGATTTTGAAAACATCCTTATTTTTTTAAATCTCACATGCAACAAATATCCAGATTTACAACTCCAAAAGTTGAGAACAATGATAGGAACAACCTACCATAGAATAGAAACTCAAGGCTGTCATTTTTCTTAAGTGTTAAGAGATAAGATATGATATATACTCAGTTCATCCAACTCAAATCATTCACCTCACAGCCCTCCCCCGTCACTTCAGCTGTGCCCCAGGGTTCTGTCCTAGGCCCCCTCCCCTTCATTATCTATCTCCTTCCCCTTGGCAGCATCCTCTGTAAATTTGGCATACATTTTCATTGCTTCACGGATGACACCCAGCTCTTCCTCTCCAGCAAACCCGACGCCTCTCTTCCACCCTCCTCCCTCACCCACTGCCTCTCAGAAATTAAATCCTGGTTCACGTCAAACTTCCTCAAACTCAACTCCGATAAAACAGAACTCCTCCTGGTCGGTACCAAGTCCACTCTCTCCAAAACTGACAGTTTCTCCCTCACCATAGACAACTCCAAAGTGTCCCCTTCCCCTCAGGTTAAAAGTCTGGGTGTCATCCTCGACAGCTCACTATCTTTCCACTCTCACATCAGTAACATCACCCGGTCTGCATATTTCCACCTACGAAACATCAACCGTCTCCGTCCGTCACTCACTCCTCACACCACAGCTATCCTGGTCCACAGTCTTGTCACCTCCCGTACTGATTATTGCAACTCACTCCTCCTCAATGCCCCTCACAATTCCCTCCATAAACTTCAACTTGTCCAAAACTCTGCAGCCCGCATCATCACCAGAACCCCCTCCTTTCACCACATCACCCCTGTCCTTCAGCAGCTTCACTGGCTTCCTGTCAGGTCCAAACTATAAAATCCCTCTGTACACTTTCAAGGCCATCCATAACCTTGCCCCCCCTTACCTCTCCGATCTCCTCCACATCGCCACCCCCTCACGCTCCCTCAGATCCTCCTCCTCCCTCCAGCTTTCTGTGCCCTCTGCCCGGCTCAGCACCATGGGGAGCAGGGCTTTCAGTCGCTCTGCCCCCAAACTCTGGAACTCTCTCCCCCCGGACCGCAGAAACATGGACTCACTACCCCACTTTAAATCCAAACTCAAAACACACCTATTCCAAATTGCATATTCACTTTAACTGTCCACTTTCACACTTGTATGTTGTTTTTATTTATTTTTAATTATGTTTCTGTGTTTTTATGCCCTGTACAGTGTCCTTGAGTGTTTAGAAAGGCGCTTTTAAATAAAATGTATTATTGTTATTATTATTCCTTCATTAGTCCCACAGGGGGAAACTCCAAAATCTACAGCAGTCATAAACTGAAAAACTTAGGAGGTAAAATAAGATATAAATGAGTGTTATTTACATCTGATATTTGCATAGAATTTTGACTGAATATTAGAAATGACATGCTGATGTTCTAATATATACAAACCCTCCACCACCAATGCTTTTCAGACACTAAACATTGTTATCACATCACTTTACAGCTTTATTAGCTGCACCACAATATCATGAAAGCAACATCCCCATAAGACTTAAAATGAAAACACCTTCTTGCATCACAAATATCAAGTTACATGCAAGGAGAGAATTGCAGAAATTTCAACTTAAACCAGGAGCTTGTTGTCCACGAGAACAACTCATTTTTCTTTACTTTACCAGGAACATATGTACATCTGTAGACTTGGTCAAGATTGAGAGCAGCTCCTAACAAAGCTGCTTTGTACAATCTCAACACTCAGCCCTATCTTTGTCCTGTATTTTGCTATCTTTGCCGTAAAACTCAAAATAATTCAACAGGATGCTTCTCAGATGATTTGGTGTTGTGGCTGTCCTCCATTTTTGTGGTTAATCATCACCATATTAGTTTATTGAACTTGTAAAATTTTTGAACTTGTATCATGAAGTTGTGTACAAGAAAAGCTTGGCTTTAAACTGCGAACAGAATTGTAACACTCTGACCAGAGAAAGGTTGTTTGATCATGGTTTTACAAGCTACAGTATAGTCTGCATATTCACCAATAACATTACATAATTAGGAAGAAAAAGGGTAAATTTACAAGAGGAGGACGGTCTCTTCTTATGAACCACACGACCCCATTCAAAGGCACCATTAGCCTCCATAGATATCCCATATTAGACTCTGCCATGTCCTATAAAAGTCCTTAGCTGTTGTTAAATCTCAGCCCCCTGACTGTCCTCATCATTGTACTCTAAGCTCTTTTGTTGTTGAACAGAATTACAACCCTGTGTTGTGAACAGTCACACACTTGAATCTGCAGTGAATGAGGACAGTGCTGGCAGTGACACCCCAACCTCTTTGAAATGCTCTTCAAATACAATCTATGCCAGTTACTACTTTGTAAAATTAACCACCCACAGTGCTGTCCAACCATATGAATCAGCAAAAAAGCAGCTGACTTTCACAACAAAGGTTTCTCTTAGGCATCTGAAAGATGAAGCTCACTGTCTCTGTCCGTTTGGAAATGGCACTGAAGAACGTCCTGTTTGTCTTCAGCCATAATTTGAGGTGAAAAGGTGATGACCAGCAGAACGGATAACTGCCAAATGAAATGAAATCAGCTTAAAAGCGCCCGACGGCGAGCTGTAACCTTTCAGCACTGAGCTGGTGAAAGTGACTCGACAGAATGACAAGACGTTCTCTTTGTCTTTTTCGCAGATTCATCCCACCTCTGAATCAGATGGACCTGCTGAGGAATCTAAAGGGAAGGACATTCAGGTATCAGTCTCAGAGTTTGTCATTTACACACTAAATAAGTGCCTGTGGTCAGGTGTAAATGTGACAATGATGCCCCTGACTCTGATCATAATCACTTCAATTAGATATGTTTGTTGCTGATGGGCAGTGGTTTAGTTTAAATGGTTAAAGAGGATATGTTATAGACTAAAGGAACCAAGGCTTCTCAAAATCAGGATACCCATACCAGAGGTAGAACAAAATCACAACCATATTATCTTTACTTTACATGTCTACCTCATGAAACAGGTAGTTTTATGAGGATATTATAATGATTTTTTTTTTCTGGACCTATCTGTAACACAAAAGAAAAGTGAAAATCAAGGCCTTCCTGAAAGAGACAGTATCTGAAATATATGAAATATATCTCTGGAAATCAAGTTCAGAATGACACCAAATTTAGACTGACTATTCACAGCAAGTGATTTTTCACAATAAAGCAAGTTTGTTATCAGTACTATTTTCAGTCTTTAAAATTTGCTCACTTAATCGTGTGTAGTATCAGCTAAAATAAGGAGTCAAAGATTTTAAATGTTAGTATTTTTCAATTATTTTTGCATAACCAACAACAATAAACAAAAAAGAAGGAGAATGAGGAGATGAAATTTGGTGGATAAGAAAGGAGCTGTGAATTTCATTTAACATAAGTCCTGAGCTGCTCAGAGATCTGTTCCCGTCCATCTGTCCTTAAAAAAAAAAAGTGAACAGTCATCAGTATATATCTTTTATGTGACAGTTTTCTCATCATAAAAGTAGGTCATCAGATTTTACATTTCACCCTCTGCTGCCCTGTATACCTAGATAAGTTCATGAGTGACAGGTAGCTCTGAGTAGCGCTGTGACGTGTTCATGTCAGTTTTTTCTGTGAGAGGGCGCACACAGGGAAATGATGATACAGATTAATGCAGATTGAAGCTAGTGTAGGGTCGTGTTACTGTTAGTGTTACATATCCATCTTTCATGCAGCACTGTAGAGATGACTGACACTTGAGAGCAGGTGGTAGGCGTGGTTTCTGCACACTTAGCCAGGGCAGATTACCAGTTATTTTTTATTTGATTTTTGAAACCTTCTTTTATGTACTTGGCAAGTTTTTATTTTTTTCTAATTTGGCTGAGTGGTGAATAACACCCCTTTTTCTGCATTATGACAACTTCTGAACACACACACACATCTCCTCTCCATTTTAGTCTTTTAACAACCTCAGCTTTAACAACAGGCAGATATGTTAAGTATAACTTGTCCAGTGTGACCGCTGGTGTATCCTCTCTTCACAGAAAAGAGTCTCAAACAGAAACGTCCCCCAGGTCTGTAATCTGAATGTCTCCTTTATCTATCGTCACCTCCCTTTGGCTTCTCTTCAATTCCGCTCTTAGCTGCTGCTGAGGCACTCTTCTTGAGGGAGTGTGTGCACAATACAGTATATCTGTGTGTGTGTGTGTGTGTGTCGAGGTTACTGTATGTCCTATACGTTAGATATGGATGTGGTTGTGAGTGAAGTGCCTCCTTCAAGAAGGGTCTTGCTGCATTTGCTCATGTGGTGCTCAAAGATCAGCTCACTTTGGCCTCACTCCCGACTCACAGCTTTATGGAATATTTGCTGTTCTTTGATACTCTAGCTTTCAGCACCACCCTATGAAGAAGTGACTCTGAACACTTTGAAGCCTTGCTTGAAATTTATCACACTGTTTTTGACTTAAGAAACAAGTGAAATTGTTGATAATGTTGTAACACTTTATTGTGACTTTGTCCGTGATAAGATATTTGCACATTTTGCTTGATTTGTGTAAGAAATAGCAGTTTTTATGCTTAATTTCACAGATGGAAAAGCAGCAGAAGGCTAAATACCCAGTTATTGTTTGGTATGATGGACAATTAGGCAGCAAATGGAAAAATTAGTAACAATAAAGTGTTACTGGCATCTTAGTTTGGCACACACTGCTGTTTTTGTGACTGTACCCACTGCTATTTTATCTTTTTGTGTCTCCTCTCCTGCCCACCACTCCAGTAATGAAAATGCACACAAAGACAGACTTTGCGGGTGCTGCCCGAGAACCATTAGGTATAGTTGCCGCACAGATACTAACAACATGCACTGCAAGTCTGTGTGTCTCCTTACTATCCTGTCTCTGCTCCCTCTTTGAACACAAAGTCAGCACAATCACAGAAAAGGAGCTTTTTTTTAGGACAACATATGAAAAAATCTCCTCACTCAGCTTTGTCAGTGATGTCTACTTGAAACGTTTGTTCGGTGTAAACAGAAAAAGCTTATATGCCCACAGCTTTTACCTGTCTCTCTGATAAAATGCAAATATATATCCGTGTTTTCCACCCTGTCAGAGTTGATTTATGGTTTCTGTGTCATAATGTCTTTATGCGGTTAATTTGCTTGCTGCCTTTTTTGCCCATTCAGCCCTTGTTGACTTCTGTTCAGCAGGCGAGGTGCATATTGCTGAGTACCTAATAATGTGTTTCCTTTGACCGACTCTCACGTATCAGGCGAAGCAACCAGAATGAAGTGTGGTGAATTATTTTGCATGATTTGTGTTCACTTTTTGCATAGAGCGAGACCACGGCTCCTCCTTTTGAGACTTGCAGTGTCACTTTGCTTCCCGTGCATGCTTGCTTGTAGCTTCCTGCTGCTTGCCTGACCCACTGAATGCTCCACTATGTTGGTATGTGGACATGGCTCCTTCTGCTGTAGGACATTACCCTTTTTGCGTTGCTGCTGAGGTAAGATTCAATATCATACCAGTGCTGTTATCTGCCAATGAATTCCCATTAATACACACTTACAATAGCAAAGTAGTAGGACAAGGAGATAAATGCACATATTTTGCTTCAGTTTAATGCTCTCACTACAAAGCAGTTTATATGCTAAATTTCCAATCTTCTTACAGTCGCAAGGCCAGCCTGAAGGACAAAGTGTTTCCCAGTCCTTCCAAGGCTCCTGTGGTCAAGGGGAAAGCCCAGTCTCCGGGGGCGGAGGACGGAGCAGAGAAGAGTCCCAGCAAGGTCAGCAAGAGCTGGAGCTTCACTGAGAAGAACAAAACGCCAAAGCACGCTTTCAGAGTCCGAGGCAGCACCTCACGCCAAAACTCCGAGGGTGAGGGAACCACGAACATTTCAGAGTGTGGCAGTTTTAGCCTGGGTTGACTGTATTGACTTCCAAAGAAGTTAACCAATTGCTGCAGCTGTTTTTTTTTTCTTGGGATAACCTTCTTGCTAATTGCTCACAGTCATGTAAATGGTCTGTTTTTAATAAACTGCATCTCTGTTAAGGTAGAAGGAGTCTTAAAAAGCAATTGTAAAACACATAAATTAAGGAGGATATACGTTTGTGTCATACAATTGTTTGCTGTCTTACCTAGAGTTAAATGAGAAAATCAAATTCACTCAAGTCTTTGTGGTGAATATAAAGCTACAGCCAGGAGGCACTTAGCACTGCTGGGAAACAGCAGCTCTAATTCTCACTGGTGATAATCTAAAGTAACATTCAAAACAGCTCACATTATAAACCATGCTAGGAGCTCTGGAAGCTGTACTTAGACAAAGTTTTGCTTCAAGCTAAATGCTAATTTTAGCATGTCTTACATTTATTGCTAGTGGCCATGCTGACAGAATTTATTCTGTACTCTGAATAAAATTTCATCTCAACCCATTAGTACCCAATTGTAGCAGTCGGGCGCACTCACACTAAGCCCAATAGCTCTGTAGCTTGCTGAAGACCACTTCTGCCAGTGACCTGAAACTGACCCAGCACTGTACCTGAGTGATACAAAGTTCTCACGCTGGCCAAAGACTGTGGACTGTAGGGGTCATTAGAGGTCAAATGTGGCTGCCTAGTGTTCGTGCGCCCTTACACATCTACAGGACAAGATTTGGTAGGAGGGAGGACCTATAAGTTTGTCCAAAGTTGACTCATGGGAGCTTTAACTTAGTTTGTTTGGATCACAAATAGCTGTTTATAAAAGCGGCTGTATTCAGTACCCACCATGTGAGGAAAACTGATTTTCAATTTCAACACTCCTGCTGTTGGTTTGTGTTTTAGTGTCCAGCCATTATTTATCCCGAGACAGTCCAACTGCATCCATATGTCATCCAGGCCACTGTATCACTATCAACTACAATACTTCTTCTCCTTCACCTTTTCTTTGCATTTTCGTTCAACAGTTTGAACCAGTTCTCATTAGTTGTTTTTCTTCCTCCGCTTCATGGCATGTTAAAGTGCTGATTGAAATGCAGGATGAAGACTTTGGGATGAAGAGTTCTCCAGGTTAGACAAGTTATCACAACATGTCCTCAATTTAGACTTTAATACACCACAGTAATGTTTATATTTCAGTGCACATGTCATTTGAAGCTTAATGGAATATACATAGTCTGTTAAGAGGAAAGATGCCAGGCCTTTAGAAATGAGACAGACACCATTCAGAGGAATCCACAAGTTCCCATGTTTGGTATTGATTTATCTGCCATAGTCATCCTGCTAGGATCCATAACAAATCTTTTTTTCCATGTCTCTCCTCTCTCTCTTTTTGCAGCAATTGAAGGTTTAATAAGTAAGACATTGGGATATTTTGTTGGTTGGCTTTTTGGGGGAAAAAATCAAAAGAGAAGTCCCTGGTCTGAAACACCTGCATGCTGAAATCTGCTGAGATTTGTTCACTTGACATGAACCCCTATTGTGTTGATTTTTCCTTCTATGAGTTCTCCCCTCTCTGACGATGACTAAGGACTGAAGCATGATACCAGATAAGCATGTAACGATTGAGTATCTGTTTGGATTTTAAAGAATGCTCTAAAAATGATCAAAGTACCTATTTACCGTGAGAGTAGGCTGAGTTCATGAGGGGTTCAAGTCAAGTGGTGCCAAGATGATCCAAAACTGACCCAGAGAAAAATGCACCAAAGACCTGCTTTAGGTTGCATGACAAGACCTCACTTTCCCTACCAGATTCTGACTGCCTGTAGGTATTATGCTCAAATCCATGGATTAACTACATTAACAGAGAGTGTGATTGGTGGTGGGAAGAGAGTACCTGTAAAAGGTTCAAGAACAGCTTTATCCCATCAACTCTATCCTTCAATTCTGCACCGAGTCCTTTTTCTCATGTTTTTCCACAAAGACGCTCACTACGCTCACAAACTAGCTAACTGGCTTGAAACCAACTTGGTAAATGAGTTTTGCACCTTTCAAAGCTATAAGCAAGAGCTCTGCTTTGCTTCTGCTGCAGACCCTGGTCGCGTGGTGCAGCTGAAATATTGTTTGAGAGTGTCCTTGTCTTTGTTCTGTAGAGGCCAGCCTCCCGGGAGAGGAAATCGGTGATGATAAGAGCTGCCACTGTGAGTTTGTCACTCAAGAATTACCACCAGGCTTGAAGGTTACAATAAGGGCGATCTGGTAAGGATTTGTTTCAATACCTGTATTTTTATGACTTTACCTCTGGAGACAAAGTAGACACTAATGGTTTGGTTGTATGACTCTCTAAACCTTTTTGTCAAGTATGATGCAAGCTGTTCTATCACCTCTATCAACTTCACCGCAGATTAAAACAAAGTTCAGTCAGGACCACCCTTTTCAAACAGATCTAGTGTTTGTAAGCACAAGTTATAGCTGGTATTTCTTTGTTCTGAGAAGGGGAGTACACCTTCCCATCATATCATGTACGTACATGAAAAACTAAGTCAGATGGAGCAGCAGAAAAGACGCTGAAGTGCAGAACAGAGCAGGCCTAGGTGACAATCAGGCACAGCAGAGACAGATGAAGCTAGGGTGGAGGCGGGATGCAAAGCAGTTTGTGGAGTGTAGGCAGTTTGAATAAAACGTCCGTTTTGACATTTACCAGTTGGATATGTGTAAGGTAATCGGCTGAGCTTTCAGTCTGGGCTCGGACTGAGATCAGCTGATGTGCTGTGGGCTAAGCTTGACTTCAGACCTGCTGGTGCCAAAGATGTAGTACACTCACATGGCTGTTGTATATTTATGGAAGAACATAAAACGGATCCTTCTTGATTGTCCCTCTGTCACTGATATCTGATCTCGCTTTTTGGGTCAGTAGCTGGCCGATACCTGATACCAGGATTGGATTGGTGCATGATGTATGATTGGCTAAAAATGGGTGTAACGACCGGCTGTATAAAAGGATTAATCATCGGCTGTTGGTTCCAGAGGTGAAGTCAGTTTTCAGATACCTGCATTCTTCTAAGTGGCAGAAGAAGGGTGAGTCTAATGGTTGCAAGAAAAATATAAAATTGCGGGTTTGTGAGAAAATAGCTCTGCTTCTCACTCAGTTTACTCTTTACACATTTTAACAATGATGGTCTTGACAACTAAATAATAGACTACATATATAGTAGGGGTGGGAGAAAAAATCGATACAGCATAGTATGGTGATATTTTGATGTATGGTGATATATCATATCGTCTCATTTACCAAGTATTGATTTTTCAGATTTATTGTTAATATGAAGTCAAATCTATGATAATGGAAAAATAAAATCAACTGATTGTCCAGTGAGGTTGGCAGAGGTGACATCATAGAGCAGGAGAAAGTTAGAGCAACAAATCTATATGTATGAGGTTTGCAAGATGTGTTACATGAAAATAAAATACAGTGTAAATAAGACAAACATAAAGGAAAGATAAATGCTAAATAAGCTAAATTGAAAAAATAGTATAAATCGCGATATGTTGTATTACAATACTCACTGTATTGCAAAATGTTAAAAATCACAATTATGTCATATTGTGGGGCCACTGGTGATTTCCTAATATATAGCATGGTGACCTTTTAATTTTGATAGAGGCTCACCATGACACACTCACCCTCTTGTTCAGAAGCTAACCACTTTTTAACACCGGCTAGCTTTATAAGGAGGATACTGTCTCTGTGTCTCATGAGCTTTGCTCATATGTAAAAATAACTTTTCCTCTCTCAGCATCATGAGGTTTCTAGTGTCAAAGCGGAGGTTCAAAGAGAGCCTGCGGCCCTACGATGTCATGGATGTGATAGAGCAATACTCTGCAGGACACCTGGACATGCTGTCCCGCATTAAGAACCTGCAGTCCAGGCAAGTGCAGTGTATTTGCACAGTTTAACACCTTACCCTCACTCATTTTCAGGTCATCTAAACGTGATTAACCAGACTTAGCCTGTGACCCTAAATATCAAGGTGTAGTATTTTAACAGTGATTTTAATTCAAGTAAATTTAGATCAATTGTTAAGTTGTGATTTAGTAAGAGTGTTTATTAAATTGTTGGATACACACATGTTGTGACTCACAAGTCATTGATTTGCCTGTTTCATTTCTCTAACTAACATGTGCTGTATTCAAGTTTTAGTTTAGATCTTTTCCCTTTAACGTGTGGTTTACTTCCTTTAGTTATTCCTTATAGAAATAAGAATAATTTATGCCTCACCTTGTCTTTTAAACCCAGTTTAAACTCCACAAACTAGATCCCCACATTTTACCCTCTCAGGTTTAACATGTAGAATAAATATATTCCAACAGTGAAATACGTTCACTTTTCATCTGCAAAGCAAGTCAGACAATCTGTATGTCTTGTGTGTGTGGAATATATTGAAACTTGTTCTCCATAGCTGATCTTTTTCCCACTTTGCTTCATTTTGCATCGCACTCATATCGTCTCTGTGTGCCTTGCCAGGATAGATATGATTGTGGGGCCCCCTCCCCCATCAACACCTCGTCATAAGAAGTCCACTGAAGGTCCTAGGTTAGGTTAATAGACTGCACCTCTAGAATGTTATTTTATCAGCATTATGCTCCTTTATACCACAGTACAAGTATTACAGCAGTTACACATGCTATCCTATTATTTTGACTGAAGGAACCCCTTTTGAGCTCAAGCCAATTGACTGCTCTCATTTAGTATTTGATAAAAACAAGCTGAAATAAAGTAGCCAGAACCTTTCATGCACATCTGTATTTTCCTCCAGATTCACCAGGCACAACAACTGAAAACTCAGGGAAGTTTTTGAGCGGTGGCAAAAGTAAAATCTAGTAGAATTAAAGCATTATATACAGGGATCTAATACCTGTGTGTAACTGTGCATACCATAATGAATACACAAAAGGTGAATGAAAAACATTTATTTGGTTTATGTGCCACATACATCCCACCCCTCCATAAATCAGTGCCCCAGTTGTGCTACCCCAATCAAAAACATATGGACCTCCTTCTGCTAACTCCAAAAGGGCGCAAGGTGGATACAGTCCAAAGTGGAGCTGATTGATGATACAAAGTTCATAAATGTCTAACAAGATAGTAAGTGAGGGGAGAAAATGTACTTATTTTTATTAATTACAGCACCATGTAGAAGCCATTTTTAGCTGTTGGTGCTGTAGTACCTCGTCTCAACCACAGGGTAGCGCACTTGCAACATGCTTCAAACAATCCTGAGTCTCTGTAAAGAGCAGACAAAACTAAAGAGATGCTTTTAGTACATGTATTCAGGTTTTTATGATTTTTTTACCTCCTTTATTTATGTTCCCAGTGAAAAAAAAAATCACCAGTTAACTCTTGAGAATATTACACACGAATGAATATCCATTCATCTGTCTCAGGATTGTGTCAAGATTTCAATGAATATATTGTACAGTATTCTGCCTTTTGAGACTCTACTTTGTATGTTCCACTGAAATTAAAACTTTTAATAGTCTCATAAAACAAAATATAGTGATATTATCTGTTCTGTTTGTGTGTAATGTCTGCCTTAGAGGACAAGTTTACAATTCCCTTGTGACACCCGTTAGTTTTTTTTTTTTGTGCCAGTTTATCTGATGTTTTCTTACTTTACTTAAAATAAAGAGAAGTTTCAGAGCATTTTTTTTTTACTATTTTCAGCTGCAAAACATAAATACACCTGAACTAACACTGACGTGCATGAAAGGGTTCAAGTTTTATATCAAATAGAATTAAGAAAAAGATTTCAGAAACCATTTTCTATGCAAGATTTTAAAGATGTGTGATATATTCAGGTCTCCTATCACTTAAAACTCAGCCAAAAATGAAATAGACATGTAAAGTGAGACATGGTGTGACTTTCTCCCTCCCTGATAATGAGCCCTGTCCTAAGGTCTGACTCAACAGGGGTTGAACGTGCTATTTGCTTGCTCTCACATTAGAGAGACAGAGGGAGCTCCCCCCATAGGATGCAATGAAATGAAGCATGAAGCACAACAAAAGCATGACAAGTGATGCATTTTGGCCCCAGACGAGATGTCCCCTCTGTTGTTCAGTAAAAGTCTGCCTGTTCTCATGATGCATGTAATCACACCATCCATCTAAAATCAATCCATCCTCAGGAAATACTCAAGTGTTTCACCATCATCCATTCCTCCAAAAACAAGTGCAGATCAGTCAGCCGAGTTCCATCAACACAAGTGCTTCCTTTTTGTAATCTTCTTCGTACCTGACATTACGGCATCATTATCTGCGTAGGAAAAAAAAAAATCAATTGAATCCAAGAGTGAGTTTTGATCCCAGTTATTAATTTTTCCAAATGCCAGAGTTGACCAGATAGTCGGCAAAGGTCCTAAACCTGATGGAGATGCTGCAGAGGACCCAAGCATGATGGGACGCCTGGTCAAAGTGGAGAAGCAGGTAAGGGTAATTCTCTTAAGTGGTTAAATAAATCTGAATAATTGGAAAAAAAAAATTAAATTTAAACCAAACATCCTAACTTATCCCACAGTCTTTATGATTTCATTAAAAGAAATTGAATTTTTTCAAATTTTGTGGCCAAACTGTTGAACTTTTGTTTGAAAGAGTTGTGACAGACAGACAGTTAGCAGCAGGTGAGCTTTGTGAAAAAGCAAACAGAGTCAGGCAAGGGAAAGTATTTGCATTTTTGTAACTTCCCCTTTGAGCCTCTACCTACCTACCTACTCCTCTCTCTCTGTTGGATGATGTATTTGTGTAAATAAAGCACCTATTTTTAATGTTAACAAGATTGTTTTTCCAGAAAAATATTGACTGCAGAAACTACCCAAAGATGCATTTCCACAGTAGGAACTTTCCCTAGGAACTAAGGACCTTTTGAGGGTCTATGTATTTAAACAGCAGGGACATTTACTTATGAAAAACCAGTAGCTGTGCACACACCCACAAAAAAAAGCAGAGGGAGGAGTTGGAGAGATTGTGGATTTGTTCCCTCATCCTAATGTAATTTGATCATTAATACTGTGTACATACATAGTTTATGACTCTGTTTTAGGTACTTTTTTCCATTTCAGGATGCTTTTGTGGTGTTAGAGGTCTGTGGGACTGGTCTTATCAGGAGACAGTCTTACTCACATTATAAATCAGTGTTGCAGACAACTAGGCACCAAAGGCTGACAGCACAATAGCAAATATCCCATGTAACCTGATGTCATGTTACACTAATACACCTTACCTGCTGCCAATGTGATTTATTACAACCTTCATTTTTCTTTTACAACAACTCAGCAGAGACGTGAACAAAGAGCTGAGACTTCAGCTATCAAATAGCTGTCCTGGTTGTTTTTGGCTTGATTTGCATAATGTTCCCAGGACTTCAGGTTGAGAAAAAGACAACAATAGTTCCTCATGGAACTAAGAGTTCCTGTGCAGAAACCTTGTATCTCCATATTTCATCATGTTGATTTTTTGCATTAATCAACATTATTGTTCTCCTTTAAACCTGTCTGAAGTGTCTCTAATATTAATCAAATGAGAAGTATTTTAAAAAGCTTGTGGTTGAATCTCATGTGTTCTCAATCTCAGTGTTTAGTAATGTTAAAACTCAGAGGGTTGTCTTTAATTCCTGTAAATAGTGGTTTTAGAGATACAAGGTTTTTTGCCTGACAGCAGCAATAGTTTTATTGATCTTGGACATTTAAAAAAAAAATACTGCCATCTCTTTATCTTGATCAGTTATCAGTTATCTTGATTCTAAATTTAGTCCCCAGAAGGTTCCTCGTTTTTGGGGAATGTTCTTGCTGAGTAAAAGCCCCTTTCAACTGCACTTTCTCACCTTTACATCCTAACAGTCTGACCTCTCCCAATCCGTGTACCTGTGGTGTTGTTGTGTCTATTGCAGTTGACTTTTTCTAAAATTTTGATACAAAGATATACATTCCTCATCCCTTAAACTCTGTTACTTTTTGTACCCACTTATTTGACAGTCTGGAAATTCATGTTTTCCCTCTGTAGGTGCTCTGTATGGACAGGAAACTAGACTTCCTGGTCAATGTGTACGTGCAGCGTATGGGAATCCCCCAATCAGAAACTGAGGCCTTTTTCAACTCCAAAGAGCCATACCCAGCCCCGCCTTACCACAGCCCAGAGGAGAGCAAGGTGGAGAAGGAGGAAAATGAGGAGGTGAAGGAGGAGAAGGAGGTGAAGACCTGCTCACCCGCAGATGTCCCGTGCTCTGATGGGTCTTTGGAAAAGAGGGATCCCCTGCTGGGTCGGTCTGTGGTGATTTCAGTGGGTACTCCTTCTGGCAGCCACAGCCGGCCCTCTACCTCCTGGCAACACCAGCTGCAGCACCCCCTCAGCCAGCCTGCCTGGAACAGCAGTGTGGCCAACACCCCCTCACCAGTCGGTGGCAGCAGTGATCATTCACCCACCCTGTTCCGTCTACCACCTCCACCTGCCCCGGTTCATGACCGATCCTCCTCTGGTCAGGGTGGCAGCGGCAGAGATAGTTCCCAGAGCAGGAGGCGCCACAGGAGGCAGAGGTGTCAGCAGGATGCCACCGCTGTGGAGAGCGACACGTCTCTGTCCATCCCTTCTGTCGACCATGAAGAGCTGGAGCGCTCCTTCAGCGGCTTCAGCATCTCTCAGGCCAAGGAGGACTTCTTTGGGCCATCTTTCTTTGCAGGCTCAGGAGGAGGAGCTGGAGCGGGGACTGAAGCCACAGCTGGACCTTCACTCTGTGCCCGAGTCAGACCCTTCATAGCTGAGGGAGAATCAGACACAGACTCTGACCTGTACGCACCCTCCCCTCTGTCCTTTACGGGGGAGGTGTCAGGTGGAGAGAGGGCGTGGCAGGGGCTTAAATAAGTCAGAGAGGACTGCTCTGCGTGAGGAGGAGCCTAAGGAACCAGATTCCTCAGTTCAGGAAAGACCTGTTGTGAGACCACGTAGCCAAACGACTGACTGTTTTTGCTTCCAGTGCTAAAATGGACCATTCAAGTTGAAATGGATGGTTTCAGTCAGCTGTTTATATCTGACGATGGTACAAACATGTCCTTAAAAAAAAACTTAAAACAAAGGGGGTCCTCCTATATCACCTTATTTGTTTGTGGTGAAACACTTCACAGGAGATGCTTTTTATGCTGTTTATTTGCACTGTATCCATCGAGATCTTAATTTAATAGAAAAACTGCTTTATAAGGGAATTTCTTGTGTTATTTAGAAACATATTTGATCAACTTAGCAGTCAGAAGAGGTGCACAGATCTGTGAAGGTTATCTACGACACTTGAATTTGCATTTTCCTTACCTGACATTAATTTATACAGGAGGAAACCACCTTACTGCATTTTGACATGCATTCTTTTCCACGGATCACTTTGAGTTTGAAAATATGGATGGAGTTAGCAATGCTTAAGTCTTGTCACATGGAAAGCATAGTGTCATGATAACTTCTTTACCTTTGGATGAACTGAGGTGTTATGATACCAGAACCGTAGCTTGAATAGCCAATTAGATTCTTGCATAATAAAATAAGACATGCTTGCTTTGCAGCATCAATGAATTAGCTTTATGTTCACTGAGAACTCCCCTTAGAGTTTTGCAAATACTTCCAAGTCAACAAACCGGTGACCCTGCAGCATGGCATGTTATATTGTTGATTTGAAGAGTGTGTTGTGCAGGCTGCAAAACCAGACAACTGGGAAAAGTCAGCAGAAAATTCCCACAAGTGTTTTCCTTCTATACAAACAAACAGGGCGATGAATAAAACATGGAAATGTGCATGCATGAATGGTTTCAAGCTGCAATATGTTAATTTATTTATGGGGCTTTGCTTGAATTCCAATCATGTTATTGCAGCCAAGGCTTTCTAATTTCATTAGCTCTTTTTGTTCTGTCCACAATTCTGTGCACTGTTGATACAAAGGCAAATGTTCAGAGCCACATCTGAAAACTTAACAGACTTAAACAGACTAAAGCTCTATTTTGTACTGGTATCAGAAACAAAGAATGCAGAGGTTGGTTTGAGTGAGTCATACAGCGCCTGTGACTCTGAAATCTGGTGTTTGGCCTGCAATGCATAGCTGAATCATGTAGACTCCCTGCTGCTGTGTCAGTCATGCACTATATGAGGAAATGCAATAAAAAGCAAACAAGGCAATCAAGACTGTCCTTAAGAAACATCAAAACGGCCTTGTTTTTTTCCACACCAAATTTCATGGTTTTTGTAGATGAATAAGTAAAACATTGGAAATATCTCATTAAAATTAGAGCAAGAACATTTTGAAGTGTCATACTGGCTGATCTGTGGCCTTAGAGCAAACTTAGCCACAGGTTATACTAAAAGCATGGGATCGTAGGGGCATTTGAAGCATGAACAGTTGTTGTTAAAACTAACCCATGTCATAGCAAAACGACTTCAACATTTGAACATAGATGCTGGTGAAAAAAAGAAAGAAATATCAATTAATGAGTAGACTGTTCTCACAAGATAGATGATTCATATTTTCATAGAAGAATGAACAAACTTGACGGCATGTTTTCTACAACCCAAGGAGAGGACTGATAAGGTTTAACATGACACAGTAGCTCTTAGTTCAACACCATCATGTAACTGCACCGTCTTCTTCTTCTTCTTCTTCAATAATAAAACTTTGTACATCACTGGAAAAGGTAATCCTCTCTCCTTTTTTTGTTTTTGTTTTTGATACCTGTTATTCATGAATCAATTTTGAAATTGATGAGCTTCATGATGTAATGGCAGTCAGTGGGCACTAGATGGCAATAAAGAGCTTCTAGATAAATGGATCGATAAATAGATGAACGAGAGGATTGAAAGATTGATGCTTAAATCTGTTTAGATCTTTTTATATAAACCTATATATACATCTATATCTCACTATATCTTTGCAGATATAGTAATATAGATGTTTAAAGATATAAAAGAAACAGAAAGAAAGAAAGAAAGATAGATAGATAGATAGATAGATAGATAGATAGATAGATAGATAGATAGATAGATAGATAGATAGATAGATAGATAGATTTGATATAAAAAGAGATTTTCTTAATTGGTTTCTATGACCAGGTTTTTCAGAAGAGTGAGAGAATAGTTTGTCTTTGATGAGAAATACTAAATGCTGGAAAAACAAGGCTGTTTGGGATTTTTTTTTAAACATCCGTTACTGTTTGATATTACTGCAGGCCATCTGGACCTGAATCCTCAGTGGAGGACATGATGTTTTCTTTTTTGAAACCTTAAAACACTAATTTTTGATGAATGGGTTACACAAAATGTCTTATCTGCACTGTCATTAGAGAGCATGAACATTCACCATGTAGGGTTACTAAAACCAGAACTGACCACCCAGGAGTTAATACTTTCATGGCTTACAATAAAAGAAAATATCACAAATAAATACCCTATTATTTTTATTAATGACATTAATTTCAACTTAAGCTTCAACACAAGATTCCTCTGATAAAGTGATTAAAAACATTGAATGAGGGCAGCAGGGTTTTCCTCTTATTTAGCCTTGAGATCATGAGGGAGACCTGGCTTACGGCCTCGTAATGCTTTAGAATCAAGATCTGCTTGACTGAAAGGATCCTCAAGACTAAATTTGGTTGACAAATTCCTCTCTGTTGTTTTGTTATTATAAAGGCAGTAAGGGGGTCGCAGTGTCTTCTGGAGCCAGTATCATGTGGTCTCTGAGAGAACAGCATTTATTTATATATTTATGTGCACTTTGAATTGGTTTCATTCTCCTCACCAGAGGTTGCCTGACGCCATGAAGCGTAGATTAAGCCACAGTAATTTTTATTATGCGTAAACGTCAGCAGACCAGTTGATTTATTCATCGCTGTTTCCTGACACATTTTATTTAACAACCTATTAAACCACCTCAGCTCAATGTCAATAAAATAGTAAAGGAGCGTTTCCATACTGCATGCTCAACTCGAGGTCAGCCAATTTGTTAAGTGTTGTGAAGCCCAGATTTCAGCTGAAGGGGTGATACAAATAGGAATTGATTGGCTCATTAATAAAAGTCAGATGATGGCGACACAGCACATAAGGCTTATTTACTCTCCCTAGCACCTTGGGAATTGCAGACGTCTTTACCACCTTAAGCACAGACAGCAGGACAAACAACCAGCAGAGAGAAGCATTAGAAATTGAATCTGTGCAGCTGTGAATATGTGCATGCAATTATTATAAAGCCAGGGTAGCAAATGCAACCTCAAGACCCATACCTTTACATGCAATCAGATTTTATTGCAATTAAAATAACATAATTAAC